CCACACTGTTACGTACTAGAGGCAGCAATCCTAGGGAAGTTATCATGTATGCTTTCTCATCCTCATGGATGAGGCATGTGTGCCCAGGCAGCAGTGAAGGTGGTGCCACAGGGCCTGGGCACAGGGCTCCCAGCTCACTCTCCAGTGGGCCTGACAGCCTGCTCACACTGGCTCACCATGTCTCTCCCTTCAACTCAGCTAGAGATGGCAGGCTTCCCTTACTGCTGCTTCCCTCAGAAGGGAGCACAAAAAAGGAAAATAAGTGAATAGACGTTCAGAAACAGATTATCTCTAAATATTTTAGCACTATTGGGTCCTTATAGAGCTCTTTTTTTTTTCTTCAGATATATGTTTAAATAATTCAATTTTTTGGCATACAAACTGGAAAGAGCATTCACCATCAGCAACACAGGAAACAGGTTAGGTTACCAAGACCAACCTTTCAAATGCCTGTTTCAGGCACCAAAGTCCATGTAATCAGTTTATACTCCAGAGGATGTGGAGCCTTTGGACCCTGTGTACCTGCTAGAAGGAGATATGGTGGTATAGAAGCCAGTGGTATCACTGATGGGAAATGATACTGCTGAACACTTCCTTTCCCGCAAAATAGCACTTAACTGGAAACAGGCATCCAGCTCTGGAAGGGTGCATTTTATCACTGCCACCTCTTACTATAATATCCCGTTTACTGAAACCTCCCTCCACACTGTTTCTTGTCTGAGACAATATTCCTCACATTTCCCATCATCATTTACATAGCAAGATGCCTTGGAGGTCTACTTTCAAATCACATAGGGTTTGCTGCCACCTAATTTAATCCTTACTCATTACAACTTAACTCAGAGCTTTAAATGTTTCTTTTCTGATATGGTCACTCCTGTGATTTCCCTCTTATTTTTTCTCTTTTAAAATAAGCAATTTTTATTGCCTATTCCAGTCTTTCATTACTCATCAATATTGTTGCAAAGCCAAATATAAGAAGATGTCTTCTTGCCTGCAGCAAACCTGTGGATTTGTTAAGTGATACCACTCACATATGACATGTTTTGTAGTGATGCCTGCTCAGCTGGTGCTACGAAAAAAATCTAGGAGCCGTAAGCTGGGGTGAGATAAGAAAGGGTTTAATTATGCCAAGGCAAATAGATGTTATACAACGCGCGCCCTGGGCTGTGCCCGAGATGTTACATTTATAACAATATCTGGCCAATCCTAAGTGTGTCCTCCCCGTGGCTTTTGCTCTGGTCCACCCCCTGGCCCACCTCTGGAATTGGGTCGGGGGGCTTTTTGGGACCCCCTCTTCATCATTCTTCCTCATCTTCGGGGTACAGAGAGCAGAGTCACCCAGTTCTTTGACTCTGTCCTGCGGTTTAGGCCAAGATACAAGCGTTCTCCAAACAAGACAGGCTTGCCTTGACTAAGAGACTAAACATTTTCTACTGGATATGGGAATAGGGTTGATATGGGGGTATGGAATGGGGTGAGAGGATTAAGGAATGTATAAACTAAGGGGTGTTACAGGGAGGAGGGAGAAAGGGGTTTGTTTCTAAAATCTGCTTCTATTACCTATAAAACTTATAAGGCTTACAAAATTAGAAAAATAAAAAACATTAGGGGGCTTAAGGCATCAGTAGGAACCACAGAATGCAAGAAATTTATTAAGCTCAAAAATTGGGTCAACTAGAGTAACTGGAATAATTGCATAGCATGAATGCTATGCCTAAAGCACGATGTACTGAGAACTCAGTCCCAGATGGGGAAGAACAGAGAGAAGGAGAGAGAAAATTCTGTGACCCAAACTTCTATATTGTTTTCTCTGCCTGTTCAAGTGTTTATAAGTCTCCCTCTTTCAGAATACTTCCAAGAATATTTTTCTTGAATGCTTTTCCCATAGGTCACAAAAGGAATAAACCTGTATATCAGTGCCACTTGTAGGATTTCTTTCAATTTATTTTCACAGGGTTTTTTATCTCCACTTTTCCTGACTCTAAGAGGCATAAGCAATCCTACTCAGCAAAGAATATAATAGATCTAGTTACTTATCACAGCTTTAATCACCAAGGAAATGAAAAATATGCTGAAGATTTCTGATTTTGTTATTCAAACACAAGCTAGGAGGTATAAGAATAGAATATACTACAGAATAGTTCTCCCATCACTGAAAATTATATTTACAGCAGCTCTAAAATTCAGCTTATATCTCTTACTTTGCTTTAACATTTTTTTCCTGTTATTTGAATATTATCTTTAGTAAAAATTTTTGTAAGGAGAGACTTAATGCATTTCCCTCACTAGATGAAACATATATGTAAATTTGCTGAGCTATATGGACATTCTTCATTAAAGTATTTCTAACCCTTTTATATCTCTGCATCAGATATACTGAGTTTTATTACTGAAAATTCTTTCAAAATTACATTTCAAATGTTAAAACTGCTTAAGAGACATGCTTGTCTAAAAGTATATTATCTTTCATTTGGCCAACTGATACATTGTGGTGCGGAAAAAAAAGACAGTATTTTGTGTACTTCAAACCATTCTGGATAGCTTTCCAGGTTTGTATGTTCTTATTTTATTTTCTAAACTGAGATCACTAGTGCACTGATGTTCTATGAAAGCAGTGAAAATATTTCCTAACTTGAAAATCAGTCATCAAGAGTTACTGCTATTTTCAGCAAAATATTTTATCTTTGCTTAATCACAGTATCTCCTGTTTGTACTCTAATGAAACAAGATGTTTTAGTTTTTAACTTCCTTCCCCTCTTTTCCAGGCTAGCACATAAAAACCAAACTGAGCAAAGAACAGCTTCAAGAAGAAGCCACTTCTCCATTCAGTGCTTTTTTTTTTGCACTACAGGTAAACTAAGGTCTGTAAAAGCATTGCCCAGAAGATGAGAGTTACAGTTCTCTTTTGAATATATAGGAAACTCTGCAAATATATTAACACTATCTTCTTTTAAACTTTTGCATGCTTAGCCAGGTGCTTGAGGGAGTGAGGTGCCTGTAGCAGCTGGATAGTAATACTGGAATCTAAAAGGGATTTTAGATTTTCTCTAATTGTCATGATTTTCAAAACCATTAAAGAAAGGCCAATCTATTCTTGCAAAACTGTGAGATGTTACTCAGCAGAGCAAGCAGACAAATTGCAGCTACACTGAGTGCTTCATGTACCCAGCCCAGCACCTCCCCAAGCTCAGGCTGGGGACAAGCAGCCCCCAGGACCCTGGGAACAGCTGGGGTGGTAGCAGGTGCCTCTGTGGCTTGGCTGTCCTGGCCCTCATGGCCCTTCAATCACCTACCTGCCAAGTCTCATGAGCACAGTTGCACACCCAAACTGAGGAGGAGCAGGAGAGGCAGGCAGGATGAAGGCAGCCTCCACCTTCCTCCATCACCAAGGCTGAAGCTCTCTACTACAGCCTGGGCTCATATGCTGCTGCGTACAAGCTCTGGGGTGTGCAGCAAACAAGGTTGTGCCTCATCTTTTTCTGGGGCTCAGGAGCCTGCCCAGTCTCTGACCTCAAGCACAGGGACAGCCATGCCCGAGAGTGCTTGGACCAGGCAGAGCCTGGGTCTCCTCTACCATATGCAAGGCAAGGACTTTTGCTGCACCTGTTAATAGGCAGGTGCCAACCTCACCTGTGCCACAAACCAGGCACAGCTTTTGAGATTTAGCCACCTGTGGTGACAGAGAACAGGACTTAGCTTAACAAGTCAGGAAGTGGGCTTCTCCTGCCTAAGATTTTGTAGGTTTGCCTATGTGAGTGACCTTGGATATGCTAATTTAGGAGTTTACATTGACTGAAGAATAACCTTTCTTGGTCATGGTGCCAAAGAAAAGCAATTAGCTGCATCAGCTGCCTCCAGCTTTCCTTCATCACTTCCCCCTCCTGCATAAGCAACGTACAAACAGCCCAGATTTATTCTGCTTCTAACAGGGGAGGAGAGGAAGGAGGAAGGCCCTATGTGAGGAGAGTGGGACCATAGAGCTGGAATTGGCATTATCCTTGAGTTAGCGAACTGGAACAGCCTCTCCACTGGCCTGGGACTTGCAGGCACATGGGATTCCAGAGCAATCATACAAAATGCTGCTAATGCACAAGGTACAGCCACTCTGAAGTGTATGCAAGATGGGAACCCACCCTGACAACCCCCTGTGTTAGTGACTTATCAGAGATTTATTTTAATCCATTGCTGTCACTGTGACAGCAGCACTATCAAGCAGGCATTTCCTGTTTTTCTTTCTCATGTACAGAAAGCAGATGTTTTCCGAGCCAAACCAGAGTCAACCTCTTTTCATAATGACACTGGTAACAACAGCCAGCCCCACAGAGTAAAACCAGGGCTTCTCTAGCAAACCACAAGTTACAGCCTGCAGCAATGAGACTGCATGCAACAAAAGCAAGAAATTTTCAAGGATGATCTTTCAATATAATTCAATGGGAACAAATTTCACATAGAAAAACATCTGAAGCTCATTTTAGAAGAAAAATTCATAGAGTATTCTAAGCTGGAAGAGACCCACAAGGATCATTGAGTACAACTCTTAAGTGAATGGCCCATACAGGAATTTAACCCATGAGCTCAGTGTTATTAGGACCAAGCTCTAACATGATCTGTGAACTCTCCTCAATTGCAGTACCATGTGTGAGAGTCCTTGCAAGTGGTGGTAGATCCTCAAAGTCATTGATCAAATGTTTTGGGACAAAAGTAGGGACAAATAGCATTGCTGTCCTTTCTGTAAGAGGCTGGAGTGTTTTTTACTCTCCTATGTTGTATTGGACAAGAACCTACATACTACAATTATAACATGTTTTGACTGAAGCATAGTGAGAACCTTCATTTGTGCTAGGACCAGGGCCTTGGTTTTCGCATATAGTACCTTTGCTGCTTATTCTAAAACCCTATTGATTGTTGCAAGCAGTTCCTCTAGAAAGGTACTGTGATGGTGAAGAAAGACATTCAGGTCTTCACACGTGTCCTCCCCCACCACCACTTTTCCTCTGATGGCCAATGTTGTTTGTCCTAAGATAAGAACACATATTGCAGAAAGAATTGGATGCTCACATAATGAATTCCAGAGATGGGGTAGCAGAGATGTTTTCAATTGATTTTGATGTGCATCAGCCTGCATAGGGGTGTAAAGTGCTGATGGAGACCGGGTCAGCTGGGCAAACTGGTCTCCCAGTGTTGCAGGCAGCTTCTGGGTGGATCCATCCTCTGGCAGGGACGCCTGTAGGGAACACTCACTTTTGGAGGGCAAGTAAAAAGCACTACTATACAGACATAAAATCCTTAAGTAGCTACATAAGCACTTTGTTGCTTTGTAATTGTGAATTCTGCAAGGCCAAAGATACTAAACCTGTACATTTCTAGGCAAACCTCCATGTATTATAGCCCTTTAGACTTCAACTATTGACCAGTCTGAGAGTAAGTCACTCTAGCTGAACCTAGACTTCTGAGAGAAATTTAGAAAGCAAAGGAGTCTCACTGAAGTGACAATGACCTGATTATACTATAATCTATTGCAATAAATGACAGAGTGGTTATTTGGGTACTTCACTGGCAATATTATTGCATTAGCAATAAATCTAATCATAATCATCCACATAATCACTGTGCTCTACATTTCGTGCCTAGCTGAGAGTCTTCTCTCAACAACTTGGTCACAGGTACAAATGATGAAGTTGGGTGTTTACTGTGGCAATTCTGTTCATTGCACTAAAAATCTTCATTGCACAAAGATTGAACATATTAGATAGAGAACAGCAGGGCTCTCTGCTTATAGCTCCTTCTGTTGTGTAGTCAGAGTTCTATCCAGAAAAGTTTTCTAGGCTTTGTTCCTGAGGTTTCTCTTGGAGTCACTGCCAACACATTTCGCACATACCTTGGTTTTGGTATCATGGGCTTGTGTGTAGGGTGTAGTAGCCAGTTCTATCAAGTGTAAGTGTTTCCTTAATTAAAGGCAAATTGTTACACCATACAATTTCTGTGAGATTCAGCAGAATGAATCGCCAACTGTGTCAGCAACACTCAGTCTGTAATAGCTACTGTAAAATTCAGTGCCATGTAGCAAGCACGACTTCATAACCAGCCAAACACTAACCTGTTTTGCAGATTACTTCCTTCCACATGTTATTCTTGCTGTTCTTCTTGTCACTGTGTTATGACTCCACAGATAAACAGGGCTGGAAAAAGTTGATAGTATAGAAACACCCTTGAGCAGTTAATTAAAAAAAATTATCTTTTTATCTAAATCGAGGCTGTAGCAATCATTAATAGCCATGAGATTTTCACCTTTTCAATAGCTTTCACTATCGCATTCAAAGGTTTTTCCCTTCTTTTCCCCAGTCTTGGGCAGGACAGCAGTCTTTCACCTGCTGAAGGTCTGCCCTGCTTTTAACCACGTGCTGAAGTGCAGCTTTTTTAGGTTACTCAATTGGCACCACAGATAGACTCTCCCCCTATCTAAATGCACAAACCCCCAGCAGCCTCTCCCCAGATCAGAGCTCAGATTAGTGCATATATCTCAAAGTCCCTTCCTAGTCAGGGTGAAAGGAAAAACAGCAAGCATACCTGTGCTGATGGGAGAAGTTTAATTATTTAATACAGTCCCACTAATGTTTCTGGAAGCAATCAAAATGCCTAAACTGCAGAGGACAGCCCTCAGGTCTCCTGTCCAAAAGAGGAGCCTCTCTTTGACTGCCATCATACACAGGTCATAGGGACCTCCCCAATTAGCCAGGACTACTGGTAAATGATGGGAAGCGGTTCAGTGAGCTCTTCTACCAGCTCCCTCAGTACCCTTGGGTAGACCCCATCTGGCCCCATAGACTTGTGTACATCTAAGTGGTGTAGTAGGTTACTGACCATTTCCCCTTGGATTATGAGGGCTTCATTCGAAAGCACAGAAGGCATTAAGTACCTCAGTCTTTTTCTCATCCCTTGTCACTACGTTTGGCCCTACATCCACTACAGGATGGAGATTCTCCTTAGATCACTTTTTGGTGTGAATGTATTTAAAAAAACACTTTCTATTGTCTTTTATGGCAGTAGACAAATTAAGTTCCAGTCGGACTTTGGTCCTTTTAATTTTCTCTGTGCATATCCTCATGGAACCTTTATGGTTCTCTTGAGTTGCCTGCCCCTCTTCCAAAGGTTATAAACTCTTATTTTTTTTTAATTCAGCGTGGCTGGTCTTCTTTCCCACCAGTCAATCTTTCAGCTCATATTGTTTTGTATTTGACTGCTGAAAATCACCACAAGATGCAGATGGTGCCCTTGGGCACAGGCTTACTAGGTGAACTGAGAGACATTCAGTTCCCTTCTTTTAGCATTGTTCATTGGGAAGGGGATCCTATATCCTGTGGAAGGGCAGATATGGCATAGTATTATCTGACTCATTTTACGGTAACAAGAATACTTACACATGGGTGGGGAAACAGCAAACACAAAAGAGAAAGCTACAGGCAGCGATGTGTATCCCTGGTGCCTTCCGTACAGTGAACTCTTGTGACAACAGCTCAGTGTTGACATGAGCACACACTGGCATCCCTCCAGGCTACCTCTTCATTTCTTCACTTCTGGCTGGGTTTTTCCTTAAAAGTGAGCCGAATGTATATTTTGATAGCACCTAGAAAACTCAAGCCAAAACACTGCACCTACTGAGTAAGCTACCATGCAATCCTTGCCCTGAAGAGCTGATAATTGCCATCCAAGAGGCTTTATTTATATATATATATATATAAAATGTATATTTATCAATATAAATATATTTATATTTATGAGGAGTATAATGTTCTATTTAATCTTTAATGTTTATATCAATGTAATGTTAATGTTAATTTATGTTTAATGTTCTTTTCTTAAACTTTTAATGCTGAACTTAGTTACATCAGAATCCAGCTTTTGTTTAAAATAAAAAAAATCCTGGATTTCCCAGAAGAAGTAAAAATCCTTTAAAAATGCAACTTGTATAAATTCTAATGGCTCAAGGTACAAACAATAAATGAAAAACTGATGCTTATTACTTGCAAGGTAGTATAAACCTGGGTGGCAACTGTCAACACCTTCTTCTTAAATCAACTACAGACATGCCATTACTCCTGTCTAGTTTTCAACAAACGTGTGTTTTTTTCCTATTGCATAGTATGTGGTAGTGTTTTAGGAACTAAAGAGACAGGCTTAAAAAAAGGGTAAATACATACTAGTTAAAATGAATTTTTACATTATTTTACAGCTCCACAACCAAGCACTCTTAGAAAGACTTGTCCTGTCTGACCCTTCATGTTTTTATTTCACATTTTTCAAGATTTTGTGGTGTTAAGTCACATCCTGTCAGGTCACTGTTAATAAACAGTGTTCAAATGTTCAAGTGTACATTACAGTACCTTTTAACTCGGTGATAGGAGCTCTGTCTTAGGATGAAGAGATACCCGAGCTGAAATCGCCTTTACATGTTGATCCGAGATCTTCACAAGTCCTCAAGGTAATGGGTAAAAAAGAGCATTGTTCCTCTTCCTTCTCTTTCTCTGTAGATTTTCTTTTGGGGACAAGAAGGTTGAGAGCAAGGAAGAACTATGTTTTGCCACATCCAATGGCAAAGCAGAAACAGGATTTGAATTAGACACCTGATGTCTTTTAGGTATGGAGCAGGCTGCACCTTTACCCTCAGCAGTTTCTGCCTGAGACCTGAGGCACCAAGGGCCCCAGTTCAGTGCCTGCAGGAATCATACTACAAAGCGTACTCATGCTGGTTTGAGTTTTATTTTTCATCTTTGCAACCATAGGGCAGAAATGTGTCAGGCTCTTACAGAGAAGAGACAGCAGGACATGTTCTCCCCCGGCTCCACTGGTATGAATTGTCTTGACCTCTCTTCCACAAGAGGATACTTATAAATCCCAATAAGGCCATAAGGAAGCTGGTTTGCTCCAGCAGGGACAGCCTGTGCCTGCAGTTCATCCAGAGGTCCAAGCTTGCTGGGGCAGCCTTCTGCTGCTCTGCCCAGTGCTGGAGGCTAGCAGGAACAAGGGTCCTCTCTTAGCAGGGAGTCGGAAGCCAGACACCAAGAGTTTTAGCTCTTTGGAATAGGTCTTTACCTGAATCATCTAATTGCTTTTCATAAATCTTTCAGATCTTCATACAATATTTCACTGTATACTCCTGTGACTAGTACTGAGTATTTAATTACATATTTTAAATGTAATTTATAAGTAGATGTAATTTAATCATATTTCAATTATTTTCATGTGTAGACCACAATATGCATGCTGTAAAAAAACAAGTGATCTTTCACCAGGTCAGGAAAGATAATACAGTAATGACTCCATCCTAGAAAAACCAGATCAACCAGCTTTTCTGCTAAAGGCTAGACAAGCCTAAACACAGTGGGGATTTCAAATCCCTGGAACCACAGATTGGCAGATAGGTAGAAAAGCATTGTGCTTCATTTTGCAGAAAATGCACAGTAATAAGGCTTGTGTTGAAGCTGTCACTGTCAAGTGATACATTCAATTAAATATGGGGAATTTACCTTTGCAGCCCTAGGAATATACCTTTCACTGAGCAAACATTTGTGAAACATTTAGACTTCCTTAATTCTCATGCCCACGCTCCTTGTTAATTTGCCATCAAGCCCAGCAATGATAGCAAATACACCAAATAGCTGTAACAACCACACAGAATTTTTACAGAATTCAAGTGAAAGTACTGCTGCTCTTGCACTTCAGCCTTTTATACTGTTTTGCAGAAGACATTTCTTGACTGTTAGAAGACTATACAGAGGTAAGATCATATTGTTTCAAGGTAAAATTAATAACTGCAGTGTAAAAGGCTTTACTTGGATTTAGCAAGGAAGCTGGTGGGTGTGACTTCATGACTAAGCCTGAGGGAACTTCCTCCAGCTGTGAGGGAAACTGTTAGGAGATGTCCGACCTTACCCTGCTGCAGAAATATTTGGCTATGAGGGAAAAAGAAAAAGGCAAAAACAGCTCCTCACTCAGCAAGAGCCAGAATTGTGAGCTTAGATGCCTTAAGTGCAGCAGAAATAGTGCCAAGCAATAGGACAAGAAGCAATGGACAGAAACTTGGTGCACAGGAAGTTCCACCTGAATATAAGGAAGAACTTCTTTACTGTGCAGGTGAGCACTGCACTGGAAAGATTGCCCAGAGAGGTTGTGGAGTCTCTCTCAGTGGAGATATTCAAGAACCACCTGCACACAATTCTGTGCCATGTGCTCTGAGATGACCCTGCTTCAATAGGGAGGTTGGACCAGATGACCCACTGTGGTTGTCTCCAAACCTGACCCATCCTGTGATTCCCTGAGAAAGAAGGTCCCAGGAGGAACTGTGTCTGCAGAAGCCAAGCCCAGGCTTCCAGTGGATACTGAATTAGGACCTCAGCATGAGCAAGTGCATGAAGCCTCCGTAAGACACCCTGGCTTGTGCCAAGTACACCACTACATGGGAACTGCAAAAAATGGCCATCAAAAAAAGTGGATTGGTGAATGACAGGCTCTCCCTGAATGTTGTTATGCCTGCATCTTGGGGTGAAGTATCTCACTTCATGAAGCAGTCACCTAAGCCACCAAAGGAGTGAAAATTGCCTGGGACTGCTGCAATCCAGCACAACTGGAGTAAGCACTACTGTCAGAAGAAAGTATTTCACCCCTTCTGAAGGAATTAGCTGCTTTCTCCTTGCGTTAGGGGCTGATTAACAATCCAACTTCTGCTTCCACACTGCGCATATCGCAGAAAGACACTCGTTTCAGTTTTATGCAGAAAGAGGGAAAAAGGTTTCCTGATTCCATGCCTTGCAGCAATAGCACCACATTTGGAGTGGGCTCTGGTACTGCTGTGTCAGGAGACCAGGGTAGAGTTGTTGGGGTATAGTATTGTGTGGAATCACCTCTCCCTGCCACCCCAAAGAAAGTCTGGGCCCGAACAGGAACAATGTTGCATCTAGAGGTTGCAGTGAAGTTCCTGCATGGCACTGCTGCAAGATAGCAGTTTTCTGTCCTTCCCATCCTCTAACAGTCTTTCACCTCTTCAATGATGAAAGTGGCTGCTGTGCACATACACCAAACAACTTGCAAATCCTAACAGCTCTACTCATTTTGCTTCTAAACGCACATGGACTAAGCATTTTCATAATCGGTATCTAGATCATGACACTGCTACTTATCTGGAGTTTAAATGTTTGATAAATTTCGGCTAAGTAGAAGAAAAAGTATTTTTCTAAATGTGAATAATAACTATGACTATGTTGTTCATTAAATTTAAAAATAAATCAATCCAATTGGAAATTAAATAATTCAATCACAAATAGTTATTTTGCAAAAACTGAACTCTCTCCTCAAAATGTAATGATGGAGTAATAAAATTATTTTTGGTCATAACACTAGATTTTTTTGATATGATGGTAGTCTTCAATTTTGAGCCAATTAACAGTATTGAATACAATAAAGTGTTTGTGATTTTCCCCATAATAAAGACACTGGGAGGGGGGTTGAGACACTGGGAGGGGATGAGGGTCTATCCTGCCACACTAAATAAACACTGTGAGAACAGACAAGATGGCTGTGTGGAAAGCCTGTGATTCAGCACAGCTGTGTGGATCTCTTCACGTCCTTCTTAGTATGGGGTGTTTCCAAATAATTTTCTGGAGTTCTGGCCAACTGACATGCTTTTTCCATAAAACTCATTTCTTTGTGGACACTGGGCTCTGTTTCTAGACAGACCCCAATCCTACTGATAAAATAATTAAAGAAATAATTCCAATATCTGCGTTTTTTAATAAATAACCCCTAAGTAGGACAAAAGCAGCCCCCTTCCCCATCAATGATAATGATGGCAAGAATTCCCCAAAAAACAATCTGGTGAAACAGCATTTATTAGAGCTAGAGAGAGGGTTACACTGAAACTATGAAAAGACCATGTATGTTCAAAACCAGGCAGACACATCCCTTCTACATTAGAGAGCTGGAGATGCCCAGTTTCTAACACAGATTTCTTTTCTCCTTCAGCCTTTCTAATTTGCCCATCCCGAAGCCACAACTAACAATATCTGTTCTCAAGTAGCATGGACAGTCCTGCCCTATCCTTCCATGGACAACTTCTCATGTGCTCTGCAAAAGCAGTTTAAGCAGTGCCAGCACCTCTCTCAAATCATGAGCTTTACCCACTGTAGTGGGTGCTCACCCAGATGAATCTGCAGACCTGGCCAAGACATAACACAGTTGTCTTCTCTAGAGTGGCTCCAAGAGTCCTCTCCGTCAGCAAATTGTGCCTTTGCCAGGCATGCAGAAGGAAACACAGAGAAGCACTGGAGTTCCATCAGAGTGGAACCTAAATGACATCCATAATTTCACATGGCCATATTAAAGTTCAACCTATACCTCAGAAAAGCCTGAGAACCAGGGCAAATGACCACACTCTTCAAAGGAAGACCCACTTGGCTGGATACCATCCACAACAAT